GGCTGGCGCAAATTTCCACTGTATTCCCAGTGTTCTCGAAATGTAGAACAGGAAAGACCGCCATAACCAATTTTTTCAGTACCACTGTGTTGAAGGCAATGACGTACCACCAGATGCGAAATAGAGTCACTGATGAAAGCCAGAGAGCAAGTACTGGCTGTGATAGACTTAATGGACCGAAACATTTCTTACCTAATTTAATAATTCTTTACAACCCTTCCGTCGTTTTTTGCTCATATTTTCTCTGTAACTCTAAATGGAGCCAGTAATGGAACGAAGGATGATTGGTGTATTTCTTAGTAAATACATAAAGAATTAAGACTCTCTATCAGACGAACAACTTGCAAAGTATCACTGCGATCCGCAAGAAAGTAAAATCCGATAGGCACGACATGCTCTTCGCTTTACTGAAAACCATTGGATTCACTGGTGAACAGGGGCCCAGTGCTAAGCAGCTTCACTACAAATATGTAAGGGAGGTTAATAGTCTTCAAATTAAAAAAAAAAAAAAAAGATTAAACATTAATAATGCTTACCGGTTTGTTTCTGGAGCGTACACATTGTGCCCCTCCATCTGAAACAATCTGAATTTCATAACGTGTTTTATGCGTTTTCGGTGTTTTATCTTTTTTGAAAGCCAAAAGACTCAGGTGGCATGATGGATTTACCATTAACATATTTACTAATGCCAATGTTTGGTGCGGATTCAGGAAATAATAAGTAGCGGCTGTTAGAAGGATGAATCATAGATGGACGGTCCAAGTGGAGTGGCCGGAATAGGATAAATTGATAAATAATTTGCGGCCTTTGGCAGGTCGAACCGTAATTTCTGAAGCAAACGGGCAGTCCGAACCGTGGAAAATGCGGAACGGCCATGACCCATAAATTTTAATGTAGAGCGAAATTTATTAATAGATTATGATAGGAAAGAAAGTAGGGCTGTTAATGTATTGCAAACCGTATGTCATGTTGAAAAGTCATGTAAAGAGGAATATGTAGAAATTGCTCTGCCTGTGTTTCATCCCTTAGCTGTAAACACAGAAAGTATAAGGTGCGGTTAGAGGCCAGAATCACCAGTGCAGCCACCTAACCACCATTTGAAAATGTCAAGCAGCAAGGTGTTTGGAAGAAGATAATGGCGATAATAAGGGGATGCCTAAGCGGTAGGTTGCAAGCAATTTGCTCTCCTTTGTAGGCAAAAAACAAGCCAATACGAGTGGAACGAGTCACAAAGAAAAACTGGTCCCCAATCATCTGAAAAAATATGCAATTTTTGAGGAAACATGAAAATGAGTGAGGAGGGGATAGGATGATGGCAAATCGCGTAAAACTGAGAGAGTGAAAGTGGCAAAACTGATAAAAATGCGATAGTAAAAATAGCAAGTCCACACATAAAAGATAACGTACAATGATATCATCATTATCGCTGTTGCCACTGACCATTGCTCCGGTACTGCCACGTCGCCTTTGATATTCTGCTCGACTAAAACAAGAAAAAAAAATCAAATAAAAAAAAACGGAATTTGGTGATCATCAAAAGTTTTGGTTGAAAATTTTTAAAAATTTTTTTGCGCAACAATCTTTCTGACTTCGGCCGTTCCACATTTTGTTTTTTTTTTTTGGACCGTCTACTTGTTTTGAGATTACGATTCGACCTTCTAACGGCGGTAAATTATTGCCCAAATATGCCTGATATTTGCTGAAAGATGCCATTTGACAACTTTGGGGAAACTGTAGAAGGGCTTTTTCACATCCTCACTTTTCTATCATCCTTTCTTATATTTTCCAACAGCACTTACACATTTTTCTTTTAACCTTAAACAGTGAAAAAGAAGAGTCACTTGTATGCCTACCCAGAATTGTATAAACAAGGCGTGTTCAGCACCAAACAGAGGGGAAAATCCTACATCAAAAATGAGAAAAATCAGAGCAGTAAAGTAGCGGAATAATGAATTCCGAAGCCAAAGTCAAAAACCAAAACCTTACCAAAACCCGCTCTCTGTGAGAGAGACACAGGCATAAGGAAAATATTCCAAGGATAGCAAATTCCAAAAACAACCACTCGCTGGCAAAGCTGCCTAACAACTCTTTTTTCCGGTATTTACAAGCACAAAAATGGTCATTTTAATTTTTTTTCTGGACATGCGCCAATACAGTCGAAACGAATGAACAAATCCTATGGAAGGGCTGTTCGATTCCTACTAACCAATTCTAATTTTTGACCATCTGAACGAAAAAGCAGCGCAATCTCAGCATCGAATCCGAAAAAATTTCCATTTAAAAAATAAATATAAAAAAAAGAAAGTAAACGGCAAAAAAACCTGAGATATTCGCTATTTTGATCAAAAACATCCAGACTTTCTCCACTGATTGTAAATGCAAAAAGTAGCTCAGCAAAATGGTCCAAAAATTCCGGAACAACAACACTGTGTTCATCACCCAGCAACACGGGGAATTCTTTGGCTAGTAAAGCAGTGAATTGTGGTGACATGATTTGATAATACATGGCAAGATCGTATACACGCCGAGCAATCGTTTCCAGATTTGACAAATTCTAAAACAAAAAATACAAAAAAATAAGCTGATATCAAGCCTCAAACCCCCCCCCCCAACCTTTTTACTCAGTTTCACAAAAAATACAAGTTCATCCCTGTAGTTCCCACACTCTGTAGTTCCCATAAGATGCAAATATCCGCAGCAACTTGTCCGCAACTTTCAACTCGGGAACCACAGAAGCTAGGAAGCTAAAAATTTAGGGGAAATTTCCCCACCCAAGTGTGACCCTGCAAACTTAAATTCTGCCTCCCTGTACCCGCAGGTAACACGTACGGCCCCGTAAAAGTTTTGGCAGGTAAAGTTATTATTACGGGAACCAAGGAAGCTAGAGGGCTGAAATTTTGTGGGCATGTTTTCTGCCAATGTGTTACCCAGGGAATTTAAAGTCAGCTTTCTCCTGCCCGTGGGTGAAATGTACGGTCCCGGAAAAGTTTTGGCGAGTAAAATTATTATCACGGGAACCATGAAAGCCAGGAAGCCAAATTTTATGGTAATGCTTTCTGTCTACTTACAACCCCGCAATTTTAAATTCAGCTTCCCGTGCGTCCGAGTATCACTCGCGGCCCCGAGAAAGTTTTGACGGGGAAAAGTATTATCTCGAGGACCGCAGAAGCTGGGGAACTGAAGTTTTAATGTGATCTCCTCTACAAACGTACGACCTCGCAAATTTAGATTCAGCATCCACGCAACCCTGAGTACCATGTACAGCCCCGTAAAAGTTTTGATAAAGAAATTATTATCATCGTTTGCCTGAAACTTTTAGTGGAAAATTCCGCAACCTAAGAACCAAACAACGTTTTATTTTTGCACAGACTAAAGTGCAAAGCAGTGGAAATCATTAAAAGGCAATTTTTCGGTGAACGGAATTGCACAAAACGCATGATCGCACCAGCTGCCCTGGTGCGCGCCGTTACTTATAAGAGTTACCGTTTTTTTTTCGACCGTTCTACCAGCCATATTGTATGGGTGTGAGACGTGGAATATTACGCTTGCTGAAGAACGGAAATTAGCAGTGTCTCAAAGAGCCATGGAGCAACGGATGGTTGGCGTCAACAGGCTGAAGCCGCACATTCCGAATGAAGTGCTCCGAGTCAGATCTGGCGTGAAAGACATTATTGAAGCAATGTACACCAGCAAGAAGAGATGGGCTGGTCATGTGTCACGGATGACAGATAATAGATGGGCGAAGCGGATAATTGAATGGTATCCACGCATGGTGAAGACGAACATTGGTGAGGCCACCACTGAGTGTGGAGAGACTTCATGGTACGCCTGCACGGTACCACGTGGACTCGGACAGTGCAACAACGAGATGAACGGAGAAATTGCCAGTGCTGCATCGATGGCGTGACAATGAACGTCGATGACATACAACTGCTCAAGTACCGTTTTTTTCTCGGAGCAATCTTAGAACCATTATGTTAAGGGACAGTAATAACAGGATGGCTTTTTGGGACTGCATTGCTTTCCGTTCAGATTCACTGACGCTGCAAAACTTTCAGGCAGTGACGGCTTTTGCAGGGAACAACAGGAGTTAAATTTATACGACTTAGTGGACCGAAACATTTCTTACAATTATAATAATCTCATAAATTTTCTAATTTTCACTTCCCATTTTCCCTTTTTTTTTCTTTTTATTTCATTCCTTCTTATCATAATTTTCTATTACATGATAAGCTAACCATGTACTTTCGGTTATAGCAACTTAAGTGCAATTATTACGTGAGCGTATATGCCAAAACAAAAAAACTGATTAAAGTAACAAAAAAAAAAAAAAACAAGAATCCCAGTGAAAACCGCGGGAAGAAGAGGCCGTACCGGAATAAGTGCTGCCAGATCACGACGCACGAATTGTTCGATTCGTGGCCTTTCGGTTATTTCATTGTCCCGGAAATATTGCGGTGAAATGCGGCCCCGACGCAATGTTGATGAG